TGGCTAGCCAGATAGAGAGCCACGCTGGGTGCTGGCATGAGGTGCCAGGTACCCAGGACTCCAGCCTTTCAGGGAAGAGAAGAGGCACCATGGCCTGGGATGGTTCAGGAATGCTTTACTGAAGAGATGGTCCATGAAATCAGGGCAGCTCTTAAATAAGCCGAGAGGAGAGAGGAGGACAGAGAACCAAGAAGTGACACGGCTGTAAGTGCTTGGGAAATGCATCTTCCCTGCCCCTCAAGCCCTACCTGGGGTTTATTACTCACCCTTCCAGCTCTGCAGACGTGGTCCAAATTGTCATCTTCAGCCACAAACAGTAACAGTGCACCTATCATCTGCGGGCCCTGGGGAAATAAATACGAGTAAGATCTGATCTAGTGCCAAGTTCCTTATGTGGGAGGTTTTCAAACTACAGCTGCCTTGGTGAATCTCTGCTATTCTGGCTCGGAAGGATTGGACTGGAACCCTTCTCAACACCTACTTCTGTGGTTCTGATGCCCTGTCTTAGTGGAGAGTCCCAGGCTCCTGGGCAGGTGTGGTCACTGCCTCTTTCCTGCAACTCTTAATGCCCTCTAGTTCTTCATGCTCTCAGCTTGCTCTCCTCCGAACCCAAGCAGGTGGGTGGGATGGGCGTTTGGGATGCAGATGACACCTGTCCACTCTTGGGATCAAGGGTTGACAAGCTGGCATAGGTAAACAATGGGAAGGTAGATTTTGATTTCAAACAAGGGCAAGGTGAAACTCTGTCGCATCAACAGTGCCAACAGTGGGACAGTGTGTCCTGTGAAGCAATGAGTAGGGAACCTCGGGCCACTCTCTGAGCTGCTGTGGGCAGAGCCCTTCTCTGGGTGGGCTCAAACTGCCACTGCTCAGCTCTGGTCTGGGGAAGAGGAGGCTATTCTGATTCTTCTTTTCAAATCTGTTCCCATCCCATTTCATCTTCTGAATTCTTAATGGCTCATGCTGTGTCTGTCAGAGAGGCTCATAACACTCAGGATCCACCTGCTGAACGTGGGCCATGCATGTGACAAGCAATTTACATGTGCAGGCACCCAGCTCATCCTGCTGAATTTTTCTATGGAGCCAGTTCTTCCCGCAGCCAGTGTGTGAGTTCCTGAGTGGGTGTGTGTGTATGTGTGTGTGTGTGTGTGTCTGCCGTGCTCACACTTGTATATAAGTGTACCTGGAGTCACAGCTCAAAGTAATAGCAGAGCAGTTTGCTCAGTGGGGTATGTGAATGGAGGGGTTGCTGTGGTCTTGGTTACCGGGAAGGCTGGTCACCCCTCTTGTCTCCTGCCTTCCTCTCCTCTATATCCGTCTCATTTCCCCCATTCCCAGACTTCCTCCTTCAGGTTAATTTCCCCAGCTGCAGCTGTGCCTCCCTCTCCCCCACCCCCTCCTCCATCTACCACACAGACACATGGGCTTTGAGTTATGTGCCTCCTGTTCTAATGAGATAAACAACATAACTCTCATGGGGCTCTGCTCATCCTCGTGTAAGTGGAACTCCAGGGCTGAATGTGTTGGCCCTATAAAGGCACCCTGGTGCTTGTCAGCCCAGGGAGGAGGGCAAGGAAGGGGGCGGGGGCCCTGAGAGAGCTCTTGGGGGCATTTGCTTGTTGATTCGAGTTGAAGCAGGCATCAAAGGGGAGCCTGTTGCCCACCCTGTGGCTAGAGGAGCAAAGAGCAGCCATATCAGGCCAGATGGGGGCCATGTGGGCAGAAAGTCCAGGCTCGTCTAAGTCAGCTAACTCCTGATAATTAAGAACTGATGTCTGTACAAGACTTCATGGTTATAAAGAGCTTCTTCTTGAATATAAGCTAATCCCCCTACAGTCCTTGTAAGGCAGGTATTATTATTGCCTTTATCTTAAGGCGAGGAGACAGGCTCAGAGAGGTACAGTGAGATTCCCAAGGTGATAGGGAGGGGAATATGAGGATGCGTGCTCGTTATCTGCACTGTGGGGCTCCTCCATCCACTAGACAAAGTTACAGAAGGAAATAAAGACAGTCCCTTCTTCTGGGCATTCAAACTACTTCCTAAAATGGACTCTCCCGGGAGAATGAACCTGCAGCTGAGTGGCCCAAGGCAGCTGACCAGGCAGTGTGGTGATGGCAGCCTCAGGGAGGGTGGAGGACTTGGACAAGAGCTAATGTTTTCGACCTCCGGTCACTTAGACCTTTCTGAGTGTGCTGGTCAGGACAAATTCCTTCTCACGGACCTGCTTTTGGTCAAGTGGAAATACTATGGAAGCACCCTGTGGGGCAAGAAGGAGCCTGCAGCACAGAGACTCCCTTCTTGGGGTGGGTGGGGTGGGTTCTGTGTTCAGTGCAACAAGTCCCTCTTGGATGGTTTGGAGGCGGGTGGAGGAGTCTCCTGGAGTCAGGAACAACAGGAACCAAGGGTCATCCACTTTCTGGTTTCTGAAACTCAACCATTCTGGTTGAGTTTATTAATATTTGATAAGGGTTTCTTGATGTGTCTGCCAGACACTGTGCTAAGCTTTGGGGATACTTGATATGGTCATGGCTCCTGCCACCTTGCATCTTATTAAACCAGTGGGGATGATAGTCTAGTAAGCAAGCAGTTAATGACAATGGCTTTGGCAAACTACAGGGATCCTTGGGATCCTATTGGAAAAACGATTAGACTGGTCTTGGTACATCAGAGGGGACACCCAAGTAGTAACTCGATGGTGCTTAGACATCCAGAGTTTCTTTGTCAGATATTATGACAGTCTATAAAGTTCTTTAAAACAAAGAGGTGTTCAGATCCCCCTACACCTCCGTGTGGACAGGGTACCTCTGACATGGTTTGGGGCATTGGTGTTAGTAAGTTCTCCAGGTGAGTTTTGGCTTCAGCCTGGATCAAGAATTGCTCATCCAAGATAAGGGGGGATTACGGGACCAGTTCTGGTATGTGGAGCAGCGGGCCACCCCTTATACTTGGCCTTCTCTGGGGTCCTGAGGAACACCGGCCCCAGCAATGGTCAAAACATCTGGAAGGGACTCCAACTCAATGCACCCATTTATAGGAATCAAATACATTCACTTTTCAAACAAAACAAAATTTTGTCTCCTTTAATGCTGGAGTAGTTGCCTCTGCTTTGGACCCAAACCAGTGTATGGGTAGAGATGACAGCACAAATGAAAAATGAATGAATGGAGGTATAACAGTGAAACTTTTGTAGATTTTTCTCTAAAAAAATGCAAAAATGAAAACAGTTTTTCTCTTAGCTTTATTTTTAATTTTTAAAAGACTTTTTGATGTGGACCATTTTTAAAATCTTCATTGACTTTGCTGCAATTTCTGGTTCATGTTTTGGTTTTTTGACTTTGAGGCATGTGAAATCTTAGCTCCCTGACCAGGGATTGAACCTGCAAGCCCTGCCATTGGAAGGTGAAATCTTAACCACTGGACTGCCAGGGAAGGCCCTCTCTTAACTTTAAAAGCCCCAAAATGCAAGACAGAAGATGGGGAAAGGGGCCTGATGTTTTGTACCCATGGTCCGAGGTTAGGAAGGGCCCCTTTTATGGGGGGCTGACTGTCTCTAACAGCTGTCATGTGCCACGTGTATCTACAGAAGACAGAGTTGTGACTTCCGTGAATGTGAACTGGAACATATTCTTTCCCTCACTCATTTGGCAAATGTTTCATTTGATTCTTCTCTGTGTCAGCCACAGTTCCAGTTCTGGGGATTCTGACGTGAACAAAACCAAGTCCCTGTGTTCACCTGGCTTTTCTCTCTAATGGTGGGGGTGGGTCAGTTGACTTGCTGGTTTATTTGGGGGTGCATCGGGCAGGCTTTTCCATCTGCAGATCACCTAACCAGTCTTCAGCCCTCTTCCCCTGCCCTCAGCCTCCACCCCCTGCCCTCTTCTCTGGGAACAGACCAGGGTCTAGTGTGGGAAGTCCACGTTCTTCCAAGGCATCTGGATGCCACACAGTGCCACGTGAGCCCCAAGAGTGTTGGCTGATGAGCAGGAAGGCTCTTCATAGGGTGCTGGGCCTGACACATGATGCAGGTGTGGCGCTTTCATGTCAAAGGCCAAATCCAAGTGGAGGTTCTTGTTGGGAGACCGTGTGATCCATAAGCCCAGCACTGGACTCCGGCCTGTTTCTTTTTGGTGAAGCCCGGGCAGGGATGTGGGCTTCCCTTGTGACTCAGCTGGTAAAGAATCATCCTGTGATTCGGGAGACCTAGGTTCGATCCCAGGGGATTGGGAAGATCCTCTGGAGAAGGGAAAGGCTACCCACTCCAGTATTCTGGCCTAGAGAATTCCATGGATTGTATAGTCCAGGGGTTGCAAAGAGTCGGACATGACTGAGCGACTTTCACTTCACTTCAGGCAGGCATGTACAGATATGCCGGCTGTGCAGGCGTGGAGCCTGCTCCCAGGAGAGGCTTATAATCTGAAGGAGGTTGCCAGGGACTCCCTTCGGCTTCAGCGAACTGCCAGCAGCTGTCAGTGGGTGGAAGAAGCCAGTGGGTAGGAGATCTGGCAGCTTGACTGTTTCCTTGAGATGTTTCCCCATCCAGGCTGTCTGCAGGTAGACAGCATGACTCCTGCTGCTCCACCTTGAAGGACACCTGCTTGGCCTGGGCAGAGGGGCAGTTGATGGGCAGTAGCTGGACATAATACACTGCCTTGAAAACACCATGATGGGGATAAATCTGGAAAAGTCCCTCCTGTGGTTTGAGGTCTCACTGATCTTCTCCCTAGGCTAAGAGAGCAGAACTGATTTTGGTAACAATGATGGCTCACTTTTGGCATGTGCCTACTGAGACAGCAATGTAGAACAGTTAGAACCCCAGGGTCCTGGGGTCAGGGGGCCTAGATTTTGCCTGGGCTCCACCATCTACCAGGTGTGTGACCTTGACATGCCCCTTCACTTCTCTGGGCCTCATTCTCACTGTGATTGAGAAGGTCAGACAGGATGGTTTCCAAGGCCCCATCCAGCCTGGAGCCTTTAACCTTTATATCATCTCTGTCCACAGGCCTTGCCCCAGGCCAGCTGTACACATATCCTGCCCGCTGCTGGCGTAAGAAGAGACGATTGCACCCACCTGAGGATCCGAAACTGCGGCTGCTGGAAATAAAACCTGGTGAGTGCCCAGTGGAGCTTGGCTGGGCTGAGACAGGAGAGGCGGGGAGTGCTGGGCTGGCCAAGGACAAGGTTGCTCTGCGGAGTTTTCTGAGAGAGTGTATGTGCCCACATGGTGCTTTCAGGAATAAACACATTCACCTGCCCCCCACCCAACACCCCTAAACTTCTCGCCCTCTGAGGGGTGGGTCTCAGGCCTTCCCCTTCCTTTTGTCTTTCTCTTGCTACCCCAGGAGAGGAAAGCAAGCAGGTGCAGGGTGGGAATAGGCCCAGGATGAATGACTTTCCAGCAGAGCTGAAGGATTTGCAGCTATTTGTGGCTGGGTGATACCTTCCAAGGGTTTCAAGTAAAGAAACCTAGTCCCAGACTGTGATCTAAGAACAGTGCCCTGTGTCCCTTCTCCCACCTTACTGGGAATGAACTAATGGAGCATCTTACACGAGAAGGGCCAGTCACTAAAAATAGAGCCCATCTTGGACATAGAAATGAAAGAGTTTGAGTTCAGGATTTGCTTCTAGGTGACACTGATTGCTTTGTGGCCCTGCAGAAAGAGTTGGTTAGTTTCTTTACTGATCTGTTACTACACTTCTGAGCAGATGGCTGTCTTCAGACCTTGTGGGCTGCAGCAAGGCCAAGTGATGGCTCTGGGTCCTCAGCTTTAAGGGAACCTCTGCTTTGGGGGATGCTGGAGCTGGGATGTGACTCAAGAAGGGTAGCAACAGGCTGTTAAATGGAGTAAAGGCAGAGCTGACTTGCCCCCTTCCACTGTCACCAGACAACACAGACCTGGCAAGGGTGGTTGTCCGGCAATGTTACCTCCTGCCTGCCTTTCCACACTGGCTCCCTAGGCTGTACTTTTTCTGCAAAATCTCTACTAAACCATTGTTTGGATGCTTTCTCACAGTTTAATTGGTAAGCATGCTTCAATTGCTCACTCTAACCCAGGTTTCACTTGTGTAAAAGTTTTATTTGTTAAGGGTAGGTGCTCCACTCAAATTCTCATATGGCCTTGCCCCATTTACAGACTCTTGCAGACACTCCAGGGTGATGACTGAGGTGGTCCCAGACTCCCTGAGATGCAGGTTATAAGAGAACCAAGTCTCCTGGAGCAGGATTGTGAGCCACATGTATCTTTCTACATTTTCTAGTAGCCACATTAAAAAAAAAGAAAAAGAAAACTGGTGACAGTAATTTTTAACAATAGATTCTGTTTAACTTAATAATATCATTTTAGCATGTCATCAGTATAAAAATTATGAATGAGATATTTTTCTTTTTTTGGTATAGTTTTTTAATTCCAGTGTGTATCTTAAACTTTTAACACATTTCATTGTAAGCTAGCTGCATTCAGTGCTTGACTGCCACTTGTTAGTGGTTAGTGGTGCCCATGTTAGCTGGTATGGTTCTAGAATTACACTCCAAGTGTGGTCTTGACCATCAGGATAGGCATCACTTGGGAGCTTTTGGTCCTCACCCTAGACCTGCTGAGTTAGAATTTGCATTTTACCCAATCCCAAGGACTGCATCCTCAGAACACATGTTGGGGTTTGAAGATTTACAGGTGGTTGGACCACAAGTCAGGATGGCATGACTCCACACCATCTACATGCCTTTATTAAACAATTATCAATATGAACAATTTATTTTGGAGGTGCTTGTTCCCTCTTCTCTTGTTCCAGATCTGGAAGTAGTCTGATGAGTGATGAGGTAATCCCTAACTTGAGCTTTACCTGGACCCATTTTAATTCCACCCTAGTCAGAGCTTTGCAGTAGGTGTTATAGCGAGAGGGTTAGCCCATGCCCGTCAGCTGTGTGGACTTGAGTGAGGGGACTGTTCGGGCGTCTGTTGCTAGTTGAGTGTGTCTCTGTGTTGCAGTACGTGAACCCTCTGGGTGTATTTCTGCATCTGTAAATAGCACAGTGGTACTTGGGATTCCTAGCCAGCCTTGCAGCTTCCGCATGAGGATCAAACAATATGTAATAGTATTTGCCATTTCTTACCCTTTCAATTAAAAATTTTTAAAAATTGAGTAGGTAATGCAGTCACATTCCGAAGATATAAAAGGATATATTTTATAATGAAAAATAAGACCCAGGCTCCAAAGAGCATCAGTGGTACCAGTCTTCAGGGATTCTTTAAGAGACAGGTTATACACACACAGGAATTACATCTGTGTGACTTTCCCTTCCTCTTTTCATGCAGCATGACCATCTTGCATTTTGCCCTTTCCCTTAAAAATGTGCCTCAGGCACTGGCCATGTCAATATATAAAGAATTTCTTCATTTCTTTTCCACAATTACATGGCATTCCATTGTATGAATGTACTACAACTTATTTAACCAAGCTGTTCCCAATTTTCGTTTCTCAGGTGCTGAGTTGTTCAGTTTTGTCCAACTCTTTGTGACCCCATGGGCTGTAGCTTGCCAGGCTCCTCTGTCTATGGGGATTCTCCAGGCAAGAATAGTGGAGTGGGTTGCCATGGTTTCCTCCAGGGTCTCTTCCCGACCCAGGGATCGAACCCAGGTCTCCTACACTGCAGGTGGATTCTTTACCATCTGAGCCACCAGGGATTTTTTTTCCAATTTAAGCAATGATGCAATGAATATTTTACATGTATATAGTGAAAGTGAAAGTATTAGTCACTTAGTCAACTGACTCTTTGCGACCCCATGGACTGTATAAGGACATATCATATGTAACTTGTTAAAGGATTTTATTATAAATGCTTGACATCAATTTGAAATTGTTGTCTTTATTCTTTTTCAAAATCTTTATTCTTAACATTTATTTTAAAAAACCTTTATTAAGAATACTTTATATCAGACTAATTGGGTTATCTTTTACAGAATCAAAAATGTTTAGCACTGTAAACACCTCAGACATCATTAACTCCAGTTCTTTATTTTTTTGAGGTCCAGACACTCCAGTATTCTTGGGCTTCCCTTGTGGCTCAGCTAGTAAAGAATCTGCCTACAATACAGGAGACCTGGGTTTGATCCCTGGGTTGGGAAGATCCCCTGGAGAAGGGAAAGGCTACCCACTCCAGTATTCTGGCCTGGAGAATTCCATGGACTCTACAGTCCATGGGGTCACAAAGAGCTGGACATGACTGAGTGATTTTCACTTTCAGACAAGTTGAGAAATTTGCTCAGACTTACACAGCAGTTCCCATGGGAACTGGCAGAGAATCCAGGTTGCTTGATTTCTCTGTTCAATGCTTCTGCTTCCTCATGTTGCTGATAGGTGTACTAACTTAAAAGTTATCAAAATTTTTCCCATAAAAACCTTATTTTATGATTAGAAAACTAACATATTAATTATTAAAATGCATCTGAGAGATAGTTGAAATTCCTTCAGTCATAAATACCAGACATTCAAGTTGAATTTGCTTAAGCAATTCAAAGGGAAGTTGGTTGATATAACAGTGAATCCCATAGTGGATTTGGGCTTCAGGCACAGCTGCATCCAGGGGCTCAGATGTTGTAGTGGGGGCTCTGTGTGTCTCTTTCCACCTCTAACACTGTCTTCTCCTTATGGGGATCGCAAGGTGGCCACTAGCAGCCCAGACTCAGCACTCACCACAGCTGGCAGAAAGGCAGTCTCCTTCAAAATCTGTGTTGGAGAAATCCTTGGAAGGACTGATTAGCTGACTGGGTTTATGTTCATCCTACCCATCAGAGCCACCTGGGGATGGAGCACTCTGGTTGAATCATCATTGTAGCCAGTATCCGAACAACACACTGGTGGCTCAGATGGTAAAGAATCTGCCTGCCAATGCAGGAGACCTGGGTTTGATCCCTGGGTTGGGAAGATCCCCTGGAGAAGGAAATGGCAACCCACTCTAGTACTATTGCCTGGAGGATTCCATGGACAGAGAAGCCTGGTGGGCTACAGTTCATGGGGTTGCAAAGAGTTGGACACAACTGGGCGACCAGCAGCCCCCCAACACACAAAGCATTTTCATTTATCACTTGTTGCTTTGGTCTTTAACCATAGCCCTGGGAGTTAGAGAGGGAAAGGAGAGGTAAAAGTGTTACAAGCCCATTTTATAGGTGAGGGAAGTCAGATTGCTGGCAAAGCCAAGGAGCATCTACTGTGCTGCTAATGTATCTGAGGACTTAGAACCTCATTGTTGGTGGGACCGAGGCAAGGAGCTGCGTTACCAGTGTCTGGTCCTTCTGGCTACAGACATGTACTCGGGCATGTGGGTCTCCACGAAGCTGAACGTAGAGCAGCTGGGGTCATGACTGACTTTGGACTTGCCCCATCCTTGGGTCTGGGGGAGGGAAAAGGAAGGCCCCGGGGCTGGCAGTGTCCTGCAGTCATGTTCCCAGCAGCACCATGTCTGTATCTGTGATCTTTGAGAGATTTCCTTGGGCTCAGTCCTCACACTTGGAGCAGACACCGAGGTGGCTGCTCCTCCAGTGAAGGCCCAGCCTCAGAGACAGTCAGGGTCCTGTGGGAGGACCCTCTCTGCAAGGATGAGCACCAGCCTGGTTGAGGATGGGCCCTCAGAAGTGTAATCATATCCCCAGGTGGCAGAAGACCCCAGGCAAGTCAGGCCTCCCCAAGGTAGAATGGCTCCTCCACACCTGCACCTAAGTGTTTAGAAACTATAAACAATCCAGGGCTGGAATCACAACTTTGCAAATAACAAGAGATCCATCTCAGGTGAATTTGTTCCCTCTCTGGGTAATCAGACCTACTCTTAAGCCTACTGAAAACAAAAACACCCCCCCCCCCCCCCCGCCCAAACCTTGGGCCAAATGTCAGTCATTTTTGTATCCTGTTTTGAGTGTGTACCACCAGGCCAGGCCTGGCTCTCAGGATGTATAGCACCTCACCAGCCTGCAGCTGTAGGTTGTGAGTAAAAATGCCAGGGAAGCATCTGAGAGTCATGATAAGGAGCCTCAGGCTTGAACCTCAAAGCATCAGGGCCTGTCCAGAGAACATGAAGCAGCATGACCAAAAAAAAAAAAAAAATGTACCACCCTCTTC